CAGCGGCAGCTGCAGCAGTGGGAGACGGAGGAGGAGGAGGAGCAGGGGACGGTTCACACACCCGCTACCACCATACCCGTCACCCCCATACCCTGAGTGTGCGGTAAGCGAGCTCAGGTGTGCTCGAAGCGTGCACAAGCGTGCGGGTAGCGAACTCGGGTGTGCAGTAAGCGAACTCGGGTGTGCGGGAAGGGGTGGCCGCAGGGCGACGCGACGGGATCGCAGGGGGCGCGCGCGGGTCCCCAGGGGCGACTCGACGGTCGATGGGGGGGGGGGACGCGCGGCCCCCGTGACGCCACGACGGGCGACGGAAGGGGGGGGACGCGCGGCCCCCGAGGCGCCTCGACGGGCGACGGGATAAGGGGGACGCGCGGCCCCCGCGACGCCACGACGGGCGACGGGAGAGGGCGCCACGACTGGCGACGGGATGGCGGGGGGGGGGGGGGGCGCGCGGATCCACGGAGTAGAAAACCGCCGCGCGCCTCGGGGCGCACGGCGGGCAGAAAACCGCCGCGCGCCCCGAGCGCACGGCGGGATGAAAAACGCCGCGCGCTCCGGGCGCGCGGCAGGAAGAAAGGGTCACGCGCCAGGGGCGCGCGACAGCAGTAGAGCAGCGGAAGCATCGGGTGGGGCCCACCCACAGGATCGACCCAAGGGGGTCGACCTGCTCTGAAACCATGTCAGAAGTAGTAGGAAGAAACAAGAATGAAGAAAGGAGGGGTTTCACTAGCAAGCAGTTGGATACATATAGCAAACCCTAATTGGGCTGTACTCACTATGGAGTACCCCACTGCAGGCTAGACAATAATAACATTCTGACAGAGGGCGTGCTTCCGCACCGACTGCCGCTAGATGCCAACCCCGCCTTCTCCAAGCTTCCCATATTACCAAGTCGGAGAACCGTACGCCATACAGATGCTGCACTTCATGCATGGCGTCCCGTCTTTGCGTTGTGTGATGATTAGCCAGCTGAATTTGCCCTCCTAGAATTCCTTCGCCTTCGACAACAGCTCGGGCATGAGACTGTCCGGATCTGGAACCAGAACACTACTTTGAGAGGGGCCTGGAATACCGGTTGTATGTAGGGAAGGAGCAGATGGTGGGGATGGCGCCGTGGTGGGCCGAGTAGTGACGAGAACATGAGGAACGCGCGCCTTTGCAAATCGTAGTGTGCTTTGGGTGAAGCGACCTATTTTCGGGAACCGCGGGTTGTTTTCAGAATGTGATGCACTAACGGATGACTGTGGCCTCTGAGTAGGCGGCAGATGGTAAGAAGATGGGGACGGGGAGTCGGGCGGTATGCTGCTGAAAGCCACGACACAGGCGTAACTTCGGGGGCAAGAGGTGGAGAAGGTATTGGGCCGCGTGACGGGGATCTAACTACACCGGGGGCAGGCTGGGGTCTATGCAGAAAATCTAGGCCCGTCATAGGAGAACGGGCCTGAGTCGTGGCTGTATCCGCATCTTCCACGGCGTCCGCCATGGCGAGGAGACGGACGGGAGAGAAAGAAACCGTCCACTGGAGAAACTAGCGTGGATGGGCTTCGTCAAGAGATGCTTGGAAAAGAAGAGCCCCCTCAAACCCCAACGTTCAGTGTGCTTCCTTTCTTTGACGAAGCGCGCATGGCTACAATGAAACTGGGTGGCACCACTTGTTTGTGGTGCTAACGCATCGCTCATCGCGCCTCCTGAAGGTTCTGTAGGCGCCGAATTCGGGGATGTGTGGAAGTGGCAGTACCTGGAGGTGGTCCTGCGTGGGCAAGGTATGACGCGGATTCACTTATTGCAACACATTTTGGGTGGATTCACGTGTTGTAAGAGCATCTTCTGCCTTGCTGGCGAAAGCAGCTTGCAAGTTGTCGGGGCGCGAAATGTCAGATTACAATTGTATCTCTAGGCTACAGTAGGGTCACTCCTTAGTGAGTACAACACTTTAGGGTTAGGTTTCCTCTACTTGTACTCACCTCTTGCCTAGTTCAATCATTCATTCCTAGTTCTATTCTTGACATGGTAACTGAGCATTTACGCTCCTGGCCTGTGGGCCCCACTTGCTTCCGCTGCTGTAATGTCTGTCGCGCGCCCCGTGGCGCGCGACGATTTTTCTTCCCGCCACGCGCTCGAGGCGCGTGGCGGTTTTCTGCCCGCCACGCGCTCGGGGCGCGTGGCGGTTTCCTGTCCGCCGCGCGCCCTGGGCGCGCGCGGCGGTTTCACGGCCTGTAGTCCGTCGCGGCGCCCCCAGGGACCCGCGCGCGGCCCCCCGTCGCCTGTCGCGGCGCCCCCGGGAACCAGCGCGCCGCCCCCGTCGTTCGTCGCGGCACCCCCGAGGACTAGCACGCCCCCCCCCCCCCCCCCCCCCCCCCGTCGTCCGTCGCGGCGCCCCCGGGGACCCGCGCGCCGCCCCCCGTCGCCCGTCGAGGCGCCCCCGGGGACCCGCGCGCCGCCCCTCCTGGACCCCCCCTGCCGCCTGTGCCCTGCCCGTTGCGAGCGCCCCACAGCCCGCCCGCGCCCTGCACGTCGCGACGCCGCCCGCCCTCCCCCCTCCTCCTTCGATTTCCTGCTGCGCGTGCAGCCGTGTGGAGGGTATGGGGGTGGCGGGGGTAAGAGGGGGTATGGGGGTGGAGGGAGTGCGTGACCTGCTGCCGCTCTTCCTCCTCTCTCTCCCACTGCTACAGCTGCAGCTGAAGGGGGGGGAGGGTGTGGTGGAGACTTGGGAGTGGCGCTAGGGCAGAGGGGTGTGACACGGGGGGGGTGGGACAATCCGAGGGGGGTGAGGGCAGGTGGCCGCCGTGATGTCCGCAGTTCTAGTCGCCCGTAAGACCGTTGCGTCAGAGGCCCGTGGGTCAGTTGCTCTTGCCGGCGAGCGAGCCAGTTACTCCGGTTACCCGTTGCTCCGGTCCCCAGAGGGTCAGTTGCTCTTGCCGGCGAGCAGAGCCAGTTACGCCGTTTGCGACCAGTGCCAGCAGCTTCAGCGGCCGCCCACCTCCTCTCCTCTCCAGCAAAAAATATGATAATCAGACAAATAGACAAAAAAAATATGCTAGTAAGATCCCTGCTCTGTTGCTACATTGATACATTTAACATTCATTGAAGCATCCACACCACACTCCATACCGTGTTCATTTGTACAAATGCATTCGCTCATGTTGATGCCATGTTCGATCGTCGCACCATCTGCCGTATTAATTGACGATACTAGGACGGTTGGAATAGATTCATGGCTTTGACATGATATGTATATGGTTCCACTTGTAGGATCTCACTCACGAGTGATTTTTATCCACTATTTGAGGCATTCGTTTTTAACACGGTGCCAAAAAGTTCAAGGGGTGCTCCAAAGAGTGCTTAAAAAAACACTTTTGAAATTATATCCCCAAAAAGTGCAACCGATTATATAGGGTTGCTACGCAATCCAAAAAGGGGCGTACCGATCACCGCCCGAGTATACCGATCATCGCCCAAGTTAACTTTTGTTGGAAGTTAATTTAGGCCTACAGGCCACTGCCACACAGTAGTGTCTAGTCTCTCTGCCTTGCCGCACGCAGCTCCCTGCAGTCCGCATAACACCACCAAAGCAGGCCAAGGTTCCAAGTCCACTGCTGCTGCCCCCCACCGATACGGCGGAACACTGACCTCTTATGGCTGTATTTTCTTGAGTTGTGGAACAACCTTCGCGATAGATGTAGCCGAGATTTTCCCTTTTGCCTGTCGGACTGATGGCGGAAATTGCTTCTGTAGTTCGACAGCACTCCCGCGTTTCGCGGCAAGGCCGTAAGCCCCCTCAGCTGTTACCCACCCAGTCATTCAATCGCGGCCGGTACGATGGCTCAGACGGTCCCAGCGAACGACGTCGCAGAAACGGTCGCAGCCCGTACGGCGACCGGTCGCCAGGTTTCGAACCGCCGTCTCCGCGTTCCAACCAATCGTATCGCTCAGGTTATTCGCCGAGGGTCGACGGACGGCCGCGTAATGCAGAATATCGCGACGCGCAGCAGCAGCGGAGGGAGAGCGCTGGCCCGCAAGATTGGACATCCGTGGACGGTTCCGAGGGAACGTCGGCGGAGAGTAAAGTGTGGCGATGGCTCGGAGGCAGCAGCGCCGACGACGGCGCGCAGGGCGCGGGCGCGGCGGAGGCGGAAAGGCCGTTCTGGTACCGCCTGCTGGGGTGGGAGCGGCGAGCCGCGCCGGCTGCGGCGCCGCCGGCAGCGGCTGCGCCGGGGGACGGCGGCGAGGAGTCGGGTAGTCGCGGCGCGGAATTGGATTGTCGCGGTAATGGCGGCGGCGCGGAGGGCGTTATGGCGCCGGCGCTGCTGTCCATGTCGCGATGGCTGCCGCACGGCACGGGCCGCGAGAGCAATATCGAGTTGGAGCCTATAACGGAGCAGTGGACTGAGGAGGGCAACGGGCAGCGCAGCACGCGATGGGGCACAGATTCGCGCGTTGACTCGGGCACCCACACACCAGGGTACGATCCGTGGCACGAGTAGTGGTGGCTGGAGGGGGGGGTTAGTTCGGATGGTGGCTCGGGTGGTAGCACGAGTACGAGTATGGCTTCTCGCTCTCTCCTCCTCCACCTGCCACTCTTCCTTTCCGCGTGCCCCACTCCTCTTCTCCGTTGCTCCTCCTTTCCCTCTGAACCCACTCCATTACCCTAAGCTGCTCCCCAAGCCTCTGCCCCCTTCCCACCCTCTCCGTGTCCCCCTCCCTCTCTCCCTGTCCCCCTCCCTCTCTCCCGTCCCCACTCCTCTTCCTGTCCCTTACACCCACTCCACGGCAGCTCTCAAAGCCACCATGGCTCCGCGTTTGACGCTGCAGCTTTGGATGCCAGGCTCATGAACGAGCCTCTCATCGCCGACCCTACCGTCGCTGCTGCCACCGCTGCCGCTGCCGAGCCTCCGCCGGGCCTACCGAGCTGGCTCCGGGAGGTTGATGTAGGCTCGGCGAGCACAGGCTTGACGCCGCACGTCCAGTTCGACGACTCTGGCTCCAATCCGTCCCAGGACATGGACGGTGCCGAGCCTCTGCATGAGGCTCGGGCCGAGCCTCCGCCACGATTGGATCAGCGAACGAAGCTCACGCTTGCGCTCGACGCAGCAGGGGAGCACGACGAGGACGGTATGGGGGCTGATGACGTGGACAGAGACAAACCAGTCGGATTCCTTGGAATTCCGGACGAGTTGAGGGCCAGTCGCGTGGAAGCAGCGTTTGCAGCAGCAAATATGAACGGGGAGCGGCGAGGCAGGGGGGTGTTTCGTGCGAGTGAGAGCAGTGGGAGCAGCACGGGCGGCGGGCGTGGCAAGCAGTGGGAGGGACGCGGGGCGGATGGGGAGGAGCTGGACGAGGATGCTTCGGAGCAGTTTCTGTTGGACAAGGAGGTTGTGCAAGGTGGGATGCGGTGCAAGGTGGGATGCGGTGCAGGGTGGGAGTTGATGAGGCGGTCTCACACATGCAGTGGCGTACAAATCACTTCCCTCCTCCCTGTCCCCACACCTCTTCCCCCTTCTCCCCCCCTCCCCTTCTCTCCCCCCCAACTCCCCCAAGCCATGTACAATTCAGTAACACACATGCAGAGGCTCACCGAGAATTTCAAGAACCTCCTCGCCTTCTCTCTTCCCCCTTCCATCCAACCCCCATTCCTCGCCCCCTCCCGTCCCCTACCCTCCTTCCCCACACCCTCCTCGCAGCCATGTACGACTCAGTGACACACATGCAGTGGCTGACGGAGAACTTCAAGAACCTGCTGGCCTTCTCGCTCTACACGTGCCTCTACCTCACCGTGCTCTACCTGCAAGCCGACTCCTCGCGCAACTATGAAGTCGCCACCTCACACAACATCCTGCTGCCCCCGGTAAGTGCCCAGTCGCAGTGAGCCTGCCACGGGTTCTAGGGTGTGGCCGTGTGGGTGCAGGGGCGTGTGGTGGGCTATCCGCGCCTGCAGGCAGCACCCACACGAGTCACTGTGCTCTACCTGCAAGCCGACTCCTCACGCAACTATGAGGTCGCCACCTCGCACAACATCCTGCTGCTTCCCGTGAGTGCATGGGCATGTGGGGGAGGCATGGTTCCGGGGTATGGGTCTTTTGAGTAGGGTACGTACGGGTGCAGGGGCGTGTGGGTGAGGGCGTATGGGTGAGGCATGGGCGTGTGGGTGTGGTGACCAAACCAGCTCGCTGGGTGTTGAGCCGTCTCAGGTCAACCCTCGTCTGTGCCTCCTCTCCCCCGTGTGATGGCTGCAGGGAGTGTCAGGTGCAGTGACCAACACGCTGAGTGGACCAGAGGACTTCTATACCTGGCTCAACGACACCATTCTCCAGGTGCTCCCCTCCAGGTGCTCCCCTCCAGGTGCTCCACTCCAGGTGCTCCCCCAGGTGCTCCCCCAGGTGCTCCCCGCCCCCCCAGGTTCTACTCTCCTCTCCAGGTACCCCCATCACCAGGTGTGCCGGTCTTGTCTCTTTCATGCATTCATTGTGTCAATTTTTCAGGCGCCTCAAAACTCGTTCCATTGGCTGGGCCGCTTCGGATGTGAGGCGGACTGTTCTGTCTGCGCATAAAGAATCTCCCCCTCCTTCCCTCCTACCCTTCTCGCTCCCAGGTGGTCTGGAAGGACCCTCCGTGTGGCAACGGGGTGTGCGAGCGCCCTTTGGAGTTCCAAGCCTTCGGCCGCTTTGGCTGTGAGGCGGACTGCGGCGTGCTGCCGTCCCTGCGCCCGCTCACGCTGCGCCTCTCCTCCTCCTTCGCCTCGCTTGAATACGCCCAAGCCTCCTCCTGGAACCTCTGCCCCCAGGGCCTGCCCTCCCTGTGCTGGTGAGTGCAAGGGCCTGCCCTCCCTGTGTTGGTGAGTGCAAGGGCCTGCCCTCCCTATGCTGGTGAGTGCAAGGGCCTGCCCTCCCTGTGCTGGTGAGTGCCAAAAGACACCTTGTACCCCCCTCCCTCTCTCCCCCGAGTGTTCAAGTCCAATAGACCCCCCCCCTCCCCCTCTTCCCCTCCCCCAATGTGCTAGTGAGCTCATGCCTGATGTCCCAGTTAACTCTCCATTGCATCTAATCGCCTCACACCCCTCCTCACCTCCCGTTACCCTCTCAAACCCACCGCAACCCCCTCCATCCATGCCGCAGGTACGAGGCGCCTCAGGTGTTTTCTCAGGTGGCGGCGGAGTGGGAACAGACGGTGTGGGTACCGGAGGGCGACTGGGAGGTGGTGCTCTCAGCGCCCTTTGGAGGGGTCACAGGCCTCGTCTACCCGGCTGCTCAATCCTCTCAATCTGCTGACCTGCCCATCGACTCGCCTGGTTACTTTGGCTCGCCTGACTCCTCCTCCTCCTCCTCCTCCTCATCCTCCTCCTCCTCCTCCTCCTCCTCCTCCTCCTCCTCCTCCTCCTCCTCCTCCTCCTCCTCCTCCTCCTCCTCCTCCTCCTCCTCCTCCTCCTCCCCTCAGCCCATAGCCCAGTGGGGTGGCTGTCAGGAGGCCACCACCTCGCCTCTCACGCGCTGCCGATCCGTGAGTCCCTCTCTCTCTGCTGTCTCCTTGTTGTCTCGTTGTCCCAGCGCCCAACTCCTGACTTGCCCCAACCCCTTCTTCCCCCCAACTCTCTCCCACCACCCTCCCAGGCACATGCCATGTTTTTTTCACGCGCTTTCAGATTCGCCCCAATTTCCTCTCACCATCCCCGCAGGCATGTGCCGTGCCGTGTTGGTTTTAACATGCCTCAGAAATCGCCCCAACTCCCTCCAAACCTCTCCCTTCAACCCTCTCCCACTGTCCCTCCTCCAGGCGTGTGCGGTGTTGGCACGCTGTGTGTTCGAGGCGTGCCCCGACCCGCTCTCGCCGCGTGTGCTAGCAGCCGTCTTTGTCGACTGCGCAGCCGCCTGCAACGACCCACCACACACGCCGCCCGTCCCCGCCCACAACCTCACGTGCACACAGGTACTCCCTCCAATGCGCCACCCACCATCAATGCCTTAACCGAATCCTCTGGGCTCTGCTCTGGGCCCTGACACACCCTGTGTTGCCGCCTGCTATGTCCTGCCTTTCGCACACGCTGACCGTCCACCCCCACAACCCCCTTCCTGTTCCTAGACGGATCTGCAATGCTGCCTGCCTGCAGCCACCTGACTCTCCACATTGCACTGCCCCGCGCCTTGCATCGTGTGACTTCCATGCTCTTATCACGTGCACGGAGGGGCACAGCACAGCGCTGAGGACCAAGGGCACCCTCGTGAGAGCGCTCTGGCCATGTGTGACCGTGCGTGCGTGCCTTGTTCTCCCTCCCGCCCTCTCACATCTCTTCCCACCAGGCCCTTGGAGCCCTGCCACCGGACTTCTCAACCTACCTCTGTGCAGGAGCCTCTGAGTCGCTTTTGAGAATTCTCAGAAGTTGAGGGAACTTAAGACCTGCTAAATCTGAGTCGCTCTTGGGTTCTCAAAAGCCTGTCCTCCCTCTCGCCCTCTCGCATCGTTTCCCACCAGGCCCTTGGAGCCTTGCCACCGGACTTCTCAACCTACCTCTGTGCAGGAGCCTCTGAGTCGCTTTTGAGAATTCTCAGAAGTTGAGGGAACTTAAGACCTGCTAAATCTGAGTCGCTCTTGGGTTCTCAAAAGCCTGTCCTCCCTCTCGCCCTCTCGCATCGTTTCCCACCAGGCCCTTGGAGCCTTGCCACCGGACTTCTCAACCTACCTCTGTGCAGGCGCCTCTGCTGCTGCTGCTGCTGCTGCTGCTGCTACAGCCGCCTCTGCTGATACAGGCGCCAGAAGACTAGTCAAGGTGTGGACAAGGCGTTTGCCTGCTCGCCCTCCCAGCATTCATCTGCCCGTGCGGCGTGTGCCACCCAGCCGCCTCGTGCCACCCATCTGCCTCGTGCCCTCCCCTGTGGCATGTTGAGGCATTGAAACAATCCTTCATTTCCAGCACTCACGCACTCATCTGCCCTTCTACCACCCCCCCACCTGTCCCGTGCCCTCTCCTGCCGTGCACCTCCTCCCCTCTTCTCCCACTTAGCCGCCTCCCTTTGCTCCTCATTCGCCCCCGACGGTCCTCCCGCCCTGTGCTCAATCGCAGGAGGCAGCCTTTCCCTACAATCACTACCACCAATACAATCACTACGGGGCAGCAGCGCAGCAGGGCCAGCGCCGCAGAGTGCCCCAGCAGCAGGGTGGAGTGGTGTCGCCCTTGCACGTGCTGCAGGAGCAGGGGGCTGCGCTGCCTGCACCCGCTGCTCTTGCTGCTCATGTTTATGCTGCGTCTGCCACTGATGCCGGTGCTGCTGCTGCTGCTGATGCTACTGCTGCCACCCCTGCGGCCGCCCCGACTGCTGGTGCGCTACCTTTGCTCCTCTGCCTTTAATTACTCGCCCCTCTGCCCCTCTGCCTGCCCCTTCCTCCCTCTTTCCTCTCCCTTCCCTCATCTTCCTTGGCTCCCTCCTGCTCTTGCCCACTCTCGCACTTGACTCTTCCCACCTGCGTTTCCTCCATTTGTTTTCCCTCCCCTCCCCTCCCCTCCCCTCCCCTCCCCTCCCCTCCCCTCCCCTCCCCTCCCCTCCCCTCCCCTCCCTTCCCCTCCCCTCCCCTCCCCTCCCCTACCCTCCCCTCCCCTCCCCTCCCCTCCCCTCCCCTCCCCTCCCCTCCCCTCCCCTCCCCTCCCCTCCCCTCCCCTCCCCTCCCCTCCCCTCCCCTCCCCTCCCCTCCCCTCCCCTACCCTCCCCTCCCCTCCCCCTTCCCTCTCCTTTCCGTCCCCACCTCGCCTGCAGGCGTTGCTGACGACACCCTCTGGGAGGCCCTAGGCTCCTCTGACCAGCAGCGAATCCAGAACTGCCACGTGGCAGTCGCCCGCACGCTCTACACAGCTGTCAAGGACAGCTGTCTGGTCTCCGCCGCCCCCTTCCAGCCACCCCTCCCCTCCGCCGCCCAATCCTCTGCACCCGCCCTCCTCGCCACTGCCGCCCGGCTGCGCCTCGTGGCGTTTATGTGCACGCTGATGGGCGGCGAGCGGGCGGCGCAGCGCGTGCAGGGGTGCAATTACACGCACCACGCGTCCGGGCGGCAGCTGGTGACGCTGCAGCAGCTCAGCACAGACGTGCCGTGGGCACATGCCAAGTGAGTGGGGGGAACTGTTGGGATGGGGGATGGGAGATGGGGAATGGGGGATGGAAGACAAGGCAGCACGCATCTAGCCAACGTGCCACACAACTTTTCCATCTCCTCCCCTCCCCCACTCCTCCTCTCCCTCTTACCCCCCCCCCCCCACGCACATCCCCTCCCCCCCCTCTCTCGTCTCTCCAGCGGCGTGCCAACGCCCCTCTCCCACACCCAACAAGCGCGCTTCACAGCCATGCTGCTCGCCGCACTCGATTACCTCCTCGCCCTCCCCCCCTCCCGTTCCCCCCAACCCCCCCTCCCTTCAGCGGCGTGCCAACGCCCCTCTCCCACACCCAACAAGCGCGCTTCACAGCCATGCTGCTCGCCGCACTCGATTCCCTCCTCGCCCTCCCCCCCTCCCTTTCCCCCCAACCCCCCCTCCCTTCAGCGGCGTGCCAACGCCCCTCTCCCACACCCAACAAGCGCGCTTCACAGCCATGCTGCTCGCCGCACTCGATTCCCTCCTCGCCCTCCCCCCCTCCCGTTCCCCCCAACCCCCCCTCCCTTCAGCGGCGTGCCAACGCCCCTCTCCCACACCCAACAAGCCCGCTTCACAGCCATGCTGCTCGCCGCACTCGATTCCCTCCTCGCCCTCCCCCCCTCCCGTTCCCCCCAACCCCCCCTCCCTTCAGCGGCGTGCCAACGCCCCTCTCCCACACCCAACAAGCGCGCTTCACAGCCATGCTGCTCGCCGCACTCGATTCCCTCCTCGCCCTCCCCCCCTCCCGTTCCCCCCAACCCCCCCTCCCTTCAGCGGCGTGCCAACGCCCCTCTCCCACACCCAACAAGCGCGCTTCACAGCCATGCTGCTCGCCGCACTCGATTCCCTCCTCGCCCTCCCCCCCTCCCGTTCCCCCCAACCCCCCCTCCCTTCAGCGGCGTGCCAACGCCCCTCTCCCACACCCAACAAGCGCGCTTCACAGCCATGCTGCTCGCCGCACTCGATTCCCTCCTCGCCCTCCCCCCCTCCCGTTCCCCCCAACCCCCCCTCCCTTCAGCGGCGTGCCAACGCCCCTCTCCCACACCCAACAAGCGCGCTTCACAGCCATGCTGCTCGCCGCACTCGATTCCCTCCTCGCCCTCCCCCCCTCCCGTTCCCCCCAACCCCCCCTCCCTTCAGCGGCGTGCCAACGCCCCTCTCCCACACCCAACAAGCGCGCTTCACAGCCATGCTGCTCGCCGCACTCGATTCCCTCCTCGCCCTCCCCCCCTCCCGTTCCCCCCAACCCCCCCTCCCTTCAGCGGCGTGCCAACGCCCCTCTCCCACACCCAACAAGCGCGCTTCACAGCCATGCTGCTCGCCGCACTCGATTCCCTCCTCGCCCTCCCCCCCTCCCGTTCCCCCCAACCCCCCCTCCCTTCAGCGGCGTGCCAACGCCCCTCTCCCACACCCAACAAGCGCGCTTCACAGCCATGCTGCTCGCCGCACTCGATTCCCTCCTCGCCCTCCCTCCCTCCCGTTCCCCCCAACCCCCCCTCCCTTCAGCGGCGTGCCAACGCCCCTCTCCCACACCCAACAAGCGCGCTTCACAGCCATGCTGCTCGCCGCACTCGATTCCCTCCTCGCCCTCCCCCTCTCCCGCCTTGCCGCCCTCTCCCGCCTCCTCCACGCGCTCGACCCGGCGGTCGTGCTCCCCTCCCTGCCGCCCTGTGGGAACGCGGTGGGCCCCACTCTGCTGTGGGCGCCAGGGGTGGTGCTGAACACGACAGTGGTGGTGGGGGAGAAGGTCACGTGGCTGTGGGCGGATGGACTGCCTCATGCGCTCAAGTGTACGTGTCTTGTGCTGCTTGCCCTGGGTGCCATGGGTGCTTGCTTGCCGGGGGTGTGGGGTTGTGAGGGACAGCCGGGGGTGGGGCTGAACACGACGGTGGTGGAGGGGGAGAGGGTCACGCTGTTGTGGGCCGATGGGCTGCCTCATGCGCTCACGTGTACGTGTCTGCCTGCCATGGGTGCTTGTGGGTGCTTGCTTGCTGGGTGTTGGGGGGGTTGTGAGGGACTGCTGGGGGTGTAGTGTGAGAGAGTGTGAGGGACTGCTGGGGGTGTAGTGTGAGAAAGTGTGAGGGACTGCTGGGGGTGTAGTGTGAGAGAGTGTGAGGGACTGCTGGGAGTGTAGTGTGAGGGACTGCTGGGGGTGTAGTGTGAGAGAGTGTGAGGGACTGCTGGGAGTGTAGTGTGAGAGAGTGTGAGGGACTGCTGGGAGTGTGAGGACTTATCTGTATTCCCTTGATCTGCCTTCTCCATCAACCCTCATTCCTCTCCTCTCTTCCTTCTTTTCCCTCGAACCACCAGTGACCGACCCAAGCGCGGCCCAGCCAGCCCCATGGCACGGCTTTGGCACGGGGCAGCTGGTGGTGGCAGCAGGCACGGAGTGTGCGAGCGACAATGTGGGCACGCTGCCTGCTGCTGCCGATGACTCTGACCGCGCCACTGCTGCCGTGCACCTGCTGTGGGCCGCGCACGTCCCTCTCCCCTGCTCGCTCTGTAAGCCCTGCTCGCTCTCCCCTGCTCGCTCTGCCCTGCTCGCTCTACCCTGCTCGCTTTGTAAGCCCTGCAAGTTCTGTACGCCCTCGCCCTACTCGTTCTCCCACACACTTTCCCAGACTCCACCGTGTGCCCCCGCCCATCCCAGTGTATGTGCTGCATGCATCGCACCTCATCCCGCCTCGCCTCGCTCACCAAAACCGTTCCCCTGACCCCCGCCCACTCTGATGCTCCCCCCCACGGCCCACTCCTCTCTCCCTCCCTCCCTCCCACCCACCCGCTCCTTTCTCCCCGCACCCTCACAGCCATCCGGGGCGACCCTGAGGTCTTCTAAGTCTCTGCAGTGCTGCTCGCCCCTGGCACCTACCACTACCACTGCGCACTCACTGGCCGCCTCATAGCATGCCCGCTGTGTTCCCCCCGCCTATTTTTATGATTGTGCTGCATGCCTCTCGCTCTTCTCACTCGCAGCACTCCCCCCAACTCCCGCCCTCTCCCATGCCCCCACATCCCCACAGCCATCCCTGGCGACCCTTCAGTCTTCTCAGTGTCAGCAGTGCTGCTGGCCCCCGGCACCTACCGCTACCACTGCACGCGCACCGGCCGCCTCATGCCCGGCCTCCTCTCCGTGCTGCCTGCCCCTGCTGCCTCTGCCGCCACTTCCTCTTCTTCCCAATCGCCCTCTACCGCCACTCTTCCTGCCGCTGCAGCATCTGTGGGTGCAGCAGACTCATCAGCTCTCACAGCAGCAGCTCCTGTCGCCCCTGCTCCAACTGCTCCCTCTGCTCCACCTACTGCTGCTGTCTCGCCAGCAGCGGCAGTGATCTCAGCGCCCCTGGCAGTGCAGTGCGCACCAGGGTGTGCGCTGAGCATGCTGGGCGACGGGCTGTGCCACAGCGCGTGCCACGTAGACGCGTGTGCGTTTGACGGGGGCGACTGTGCGTGCGCGCGGCCCCCTCGCTCCCTGCCTGCTGCTGTGACCTCTGCCCCCACCTCCTGCTCGTGTCCCCTGGGGCAGATGCGCTCCAACCAGGGCTGTGAGTGATTCACCACCCCACACATCACCACCACTACCCCACACATCACCACCACTACCCCACATGTCACCACCACTACCCCACACATCACCACCACTACCCCACACATCACCACCACTACCCCACATGTCACCACCACTACCCCACACATCACCACCACTACCCCACACATCACCACCACTACCCCACACATCACCACCACTACCCCCACACGTCACCACCACTACCCCGCACATCCACATCTCATGTTCCCTCGCTCCCTACCTGCTTCTGTCGCCTCTGCTCCCACCTCCTGCTCGTGCACCCTGGGGCACATGCGCTCCAACCAGGGCTGTAGTGCTCTGCACTGCACCACCCCACACATCACCACTACAGCAGCAGCCCACTAACACCCACTAGTACCCACCAGCACCCACTAGCACCCCACCATGCTGCATTCGTGCTCACACGTGCCACCACTGCCTGCTCACACCCCTCACACATCCTCACCCCCCCCGACACATCCCCCGTGCCCTCCCAGCGTGCTGCCTTATGAAGGACGTTGGCCCCCGCCTCCGCTTCCCCTTCTCCGTCCCTGCCGCTGCTGCCGCCAGCACCAGCAGCAGTATTACCCCTGACTCATCCACCAACGCCACCGTCACGACCAACACTACCACACCCAGCAACACCACAGAAATCGGCACAGCAGGCGGTGTGGCGACGTCGCCGCTGGGCGTACTGGTGGCGGAGAGGCAGCAGGTGGCGCAGGCGCGGTACGTGGCAGCGGAGCGCAACCGCCTCCTCATCGGCCTCTTTCTGGAGCAGACCCGCGCTGACGGGGGACCCTGCAAGGCTTCCAGGTGAGACCTGTGAGAATTGAACCGATGAGTTGATTAGGAATCATGGGGGCTTACATAGTTGGAGCTAAGGAAAAGGGGAGGTGGTTGGTACCTAGCCAACATTAATGGCCCCCCACCAATAAGTTGGGTTGGAGAATTATTGGGGGGTCCCAATAATGTTGGTCAAAGTGGGCCAACATTATTGGGGGGGGCCAATAATCCTCCAACCCAACCTTGGGGTCCAATAATTGGGCCAAGGTTGGGTTCCAACCCCCAACTAGGGTTAACCCTAGTTGTGCACCCAAACATAGTTTATAGGATCAATGCAGGATACAGAAGAGTAGTATAATCTAACACAACCCCTTAGCCTGCATAGATCCTGAAACCTGGATGAGATAAGACAGCAACCCCTGAATCAGTCACCATGGGGGGCAAGGCCAAGGAGGGGCAAGATTGCCGAGTGAGTGGCGCGGTCGAGGGCCTTAGTGAAAATGTCGGCGGGGTTGGAGGATGAGTCGATCTTGCGCACGGTGATGTGGCCATCCTGGACAAGGTCGCGGACGAAGTAGTGTCGGAGTTCGATATGCTTGGAGCGACCATGGAAGACAGCTTCTTTGGTGAGGTGGATGGTGCTAGCGTTGTCACACCAGAGGGTGGGACATGGCTGTGGTGAGCCAAGGTCTGTGAGGAGATAGCTGAGCCAGCGTGCTTCCTGTGCCGCCATCGTGACCGCGTACAGTTCGGCTTCGCAGGAGGAGAGGGCGATGGAGGAGGAGCGGGTGGAGCGCCAGCTGATGAGGCCGCTCCCAAGGGAGAAACCATATCCCTGTGAGCTGCGACGGTCAGGCTGTGAATCTGCCCAGGACGAGTCGCTGAAGCCAGTGAGAACCGGCGGGTCTGCTCCACCAAGAGTGAGGGTGTAGTGCTTTGTGTGTTGAAGGTAGCGTAGGACGCGCCGGGCTGCCGTCATGTGCTCCTCCGTGTGTCTGCCGACACCAACGAACCGTGCCAGAACACTGACGGGGTAGGCAAGGTCGGGGCGGGTGCAGACCATAGCGTACATCAGGGCCCCAACAAGCTCTGCATAGGGGTTCGAGGAGTCGGTGGGGGTGGCAGGGGGCGAAAGCTGGTGCCCAACTGCAAGTGGTGTGGCGATGGACATTTCAAACCGCGCAAGGACCTTCTCAATGTAGAAGGACTGAGAGAGGGAGATGGTCTTGGCCTTGAGGTCGCGGGTGATCTCCATGCCAAGGTAGTTGCGGACTTCCCCCAATTCTTTGCAGGCGAGGCGGCGCTGTAGTTCGTCCTTGACCTCCTGCAGCTCAGCATTTGTGTCAGCGGCCAGCAGCATGTCGTCAACGTAGACGAGAATGTAGAAGGGGGACGGAGTCGTCCGAAGGAAGAGGCTGGAGGCAGCTCGAGAGGGGCGAAAACCAAGCTCTCGAAGGGTGGAGGAGAGCTTGGCATGCCACTCCCGAGGTGCCTGCTTGAGGCCATAGACGGGCCGCAGCAACTTCCAAACGGTGGCCGGGTCATGCGGAGCGTGAAAACCTTTGGGTCGGTCCATGAAGATGAGTTCGTGTAGGTCGCCTTGGAGGAAGGCGGTAGTGACATCCATGGAGTGAAGCACCATGCCGCGTCTGCCGACAAAGTCGAGGAACACCCGAACGACCGGCGGGGTGGCAGTGGGTGAGTAGGTTTCGAAGAAGTCGAAGCCATGCTTCTGCGTGAAGCCCTTTGCCACATAGCGAGCTTTGTAGACCGGGTCCTCTCCAGGGAGAAGCTTGACACGGAAGAGCCACTTGCCCTTGACGACATTGGTGTTGGCAGGGCGAGGGACGTCGATGAAGGAGCGATTGTGGATGAAGGCGTTGCTCTCCTTGACCATGGCTTCGATCCAGAGTGGTGCGTCAAGACATGCAATAGCCTCCTCGTACGTGGTGGGTTCGAAGATGGTGGGGGTGCCTGAGAAAAGAAGAACTGGAGTTCCTGCCATGGTGCGGACGATGGGGGCGATGGAGGGCGCGAGGAGGTGGAGGAAAAGGAGTTCGTCGTGGGTGTCTTCATAGAGGAGAGGAGAGAGAAGGGGAGGTAGAGGGGGTGGTGAAGGTGCAAGACAGCTGCGCTGGAGGTCGAGTCTGGGACATGGTAGTGCTGCTGCCCGGCTGCGCAGAGGTGCAGCCATTGGCGAGGAGCGGTTGCGCAGTGACTCTGGAGGGAGGGGGCTGAAGTGGGAGGAGGTGGGAGTACCAGTGAGGGCGAGGATGGAGGGGGGGGGGGATTGTGGGTGACCGAGGATGGGGTCCAGGGAGCGGGTGTGGGGATACCGGGGGAGGACAAGGGTAGGGGAGGGGCGTGGGGGAGGAGGAGGGGGGGGCGGAGTAGAGGAGGGGAGGGGGGATGGAGGGGAAGGAGGGGGGGGAGGAGGAGGGAGATGAGGTGCAGCGGAAGGTGAGGTAGTGGAGGAGTGGGAGGGGGAGGGGGGGGGTGGGTTAAGGATGTCGCCGAAGGAGCTGGAGGAGAGGGGAGCGGGGGGGAGGGGAGGAGGAGGGGGAGGAGGGGTCATGGCGGGGGACGGGAGGAGGGGCAGGGTGTCAGTCCAGAGGAGGGGTCGGGGAAATGGGGGAAGGGGGTTAGGGGCAGACGGGGAGGTGTAGTACGGGGTGGCCTCGTCAAAGACCACGTCCCGACTACGGATGAGGCGTCCTGAGGGGGGGTGGAGGAAGAGGTAGTCAGGGGAGTTGGTATTGTGTCCAAGGTAGACACAGGGGAGAGTGCGGGACGCAAGCTTTCCACGTGTGCGTGAGCGGTCGGCAGGGTGTATGAGGACATATGCCTTGCTGCCCCACACGCGCAGAGGGGATATGTCAGGCTTGCTGGAGGTCCAGAGTTCGGTGGGGGTGGTGGTGGTGCGGGAGGGGTGGGGGTAGAGGTTAGTGAGGATGGCAGCGTGAAGGATGGCATAGCCCCAAAGAGAAGGTGGGCAAGAGGCGTGAACGAGGAGACACCGAGCCGTTTTGGTGATCTCCCGAACGCGACTCTCTGCCACACCATTCTGCTGAGGGGAGTGAGGGAGAGTGTAGGTGTGGTGGATGCTGTGAGATGTGCAGTAGGAGGACAGGGTGCGGTTGAGAAACTCACCACCTCCATCAGAATGGAAGCGGCGAACAGGACGACCGAAGTGGGTACGAGCCTGGTCAGCCCAGGCAGTGATGGCAGCCGGGGCCTCCGCCTTCTTACGAAGGAGGGAGACGGAGGAGTATCGGCTATGGTCATCCACCAGGATAAAGAGGTAGCGATGTCCTTGCCTGGTGGGGGAAGGGTTAGGGCCCCAAAGGTCCATGTGGACGAGGTCGAGGGGCTGGAGGGAAAAGGAGGGGTTACTCGGATGAGGTTGTTGCTTCAGCTTGCTTTCAACACAAACTGAGCAAGGAGGGGAGGGGGAAGGGGGGAGGGGGGGAAGGGTCAGGGGAAGGCCATCAAGGAGTTTAGTGAATATGGATCGGCGAAGGGTAGCAAAGTTGGGATGGCCTAGGCGATGATGGAGGAGAATAGTGGGATGTGTGAGATCACGACAGTGACAGGGGGTGGAGGGGGAGGGTGGGTTAGATGGGGGGGGGGGGAGGGGGAGGGTGGGTTAGATGGGGGGGGGGGGAGGGGGAGGGGGGAGGGGGAGGGGGAGGGGCAGAGGGGGGGGGTAGGGGGGGGAGGAGGAGAGGGGGGAGGGGGAGGGGCGGGGGGAGGGGGAGGTGCGAGGGGAAGGGGAGGGGCGGGGGGAAGGGGTGTGGAGACGTGATGAAGGGTGGGGCGGGGGATGCGGAAGGTGTACATGTGGGTGGAGGGGCACCGATGGACACGGCAGAGGAAGCGACCGGAGGAGGTGTGAAATAAGTCACAGTATGCTTTGTGACCAGGGAATATGGCGGTGACACCTGAGTCGGAGAGGGCACCAAGGGATACCAAGTTGTTTCGAAGGGAGGGGATATAGAGACCTGTGACAGTACCTGAGGGAAAGAGGGACAGGGGAGTGTGGAGGTGTAACGGCTTTGTATCGCAAAGCTGGAGTCAGCCCCAAGTATTGTGGAGGGGGTGGAGGGGGAGGAGCGTGCCTGCGTCACGAAGGACCGTGTGCGTGGCTCCGCTGTCAAGGATGAACTCAAGGGGCTTTGAGGAGGAGGAGGACACGGAGTACTGGAATGAGGACTCATTAATAGCATTGGCATACATAGGATCATTGTAAGAGCTAGCAGTGGTGACATGACCTATGAAACCGGTGGAAGGAAACGGTGTGAAGCCGGGGGGGTGAGAGGGGGAGGTGGGTAGTTCAGCAGGTGCAGCAGTTGCAGCAGTTGCGGCAGCTCCATGGCCATACACAGATGGGGGGTAGGGAGGGTAGGGCCAGCCGGCATAAGGAGGAGGATAGAGTGGAGGATAGGGGGAGGGAGGGGTTTGAGGTGGGGTAGTGGGTGGAGGCGGAGTGGTGAGGGTGGAGGGTGTGGAGGTGGTGGTGGATGTGGGGAGAAGGTGTTGGACTTGCTGGAGGACGTGAGGGGAGAGGTGCTGAGCGAGGACATTATGGAGGTTAGATGGAGAGGGTGCATAGGCGGAGAGAGTGCGAATATCATGAGGGGTGGGGCGAGGGGTGATAGTGCTCCAACGAGGAGGGGGGCCGGTGTTGCCGCGTGCAAGCCATTCGTCAGTGAGGGTTTTGAAGCATGCTTCAGTGGGATGAGTGGTCTGGTTGCAAGTCTGACCTTTGTTGGGGCCTTGGCGAATGACATACTGACACGGGGGGAGCCCACCCGTGGATGGAGTAGCTGCTCCACGTCCACCGCGTTCCCCAGTGCGCCCTCCTCGTCCACCTCCGCGACCGCCTCCTCGACCGCCTCCGCTTGAGCCTCGTCCAGGTCCGCTGCTGCTGAATCCGCCGGTGTTATTGGTTCCTTTGCGAGCGTGAAGGCAGAGTCACGCAGGAGGTCAGCTTCACTATCAAGGAGCCAATCGATGGTAACAGCCACAGGAGGAGGACGAAGGTGCTGAGAGGTGAAGTTGATGCGGTAGGTGTCATAGGTGGGTGGCAGGCAATCAAGGATGCGTGCTGTGAGAAGGGTGTCTGAGATCAAGATGCCTCGATCATTGAGGCGTTGCGCAGTGTCCGTGAGACGCCGAGCAAAGGAGGCGGCATTGAGGGAGGAGTCAAGGGTGATGTCTTGGAAGGTGCGAAAGAGGGAGAGGAGGGAGCGTAAGTCCTGGCGATCATATTGGGAGGAGAGAGACTTCCAGAGGGAGGGGGAGGATGGAGGGCGAAGGTCACGTTTGAGGGAGGAGGGAACGCACGAGAAGATGACAGTAAGTGCGCGGCGGTCAGCAACGCGCCATGCAGCCGTATCTGAGTGGTGCTTACGGAGTTTAGCAGAGTACTCTTCGGAGGTGGTTTTGAATGCTGCAAGCTTTGCAGTGGCAGCTTCGTGATCGGCGATGGCCGTTGCGTGTGCTCTGCTTTTGATGACATAGTCGTCCCGCTCCTTGTTGTATTTGTTGAGGGTGCGAGCCCACCTGTCCGGATCATCCTCCCAAGCCCCTAGGATGGGGGCTTGGGGGGCGGGTTCGGTCGGGAGTGGTGGGGCGTCAGGGGGGGAGGAGCCTGGGAGTGGAGGCGGGGTGGGAGGGAGGCCGTAAGGCGTTTCGAGGACGACGTCGAGGAGGCAGTAATCTCCCACTCGAACGGAGCCCAGGTACGTGAAGAGACTCTCCTCAAACGACACCCAATTGACTGCGGTGGTGCCGTTGAGGAGCTCGAGTTTGTCGATGGAGGCGAGCTCAAGCGAAGAGGGTTCGTCCGCCATGACGAGTGTGGGAGGGAGGAGGAGGAGAGGGTGGAGGTGCCAGGGGTGACGACGCTGTCCGGAGGGACGGCGCGGTCAGCTGCGTGCGGTCCGCGGTTGGTCGCCTCCGCGCCTGGTCGCCTCCGCGCCTGGTCGCCTCCGCGGCTGGTCGCCTCCGCGCCTGGTCGCCTCCGCGGCTGGTCGCCTCCGCGGCTGGTCGCCTCCGCGCCTGGTCGCCTCCGCGCCTGGTCGCCTCCGCGGCTGGTCGCCTCCGCGGCTGGTCGCCTCCGCGGCTGGTCGCCTCCGCGCCTGGTCGCCTCCGCGCCTGGTCGCCTCCGCGCCTGGTCGCCTCCGCGGCTGGTCGCCTCCGCGCCTGGTCGCCTCCGCGGCTGGTCGCCTCCGCGCCTGGTCGCCTCCGCGGCTGGTCGCCTCCGCGCCTGGTCGCCTCCGCGCCTGGTCGCCTCCGCGGCTGGTCGCCTCCGCGCCTGGTCGCCTCCGCGGCTGGTCGCCTCCGCGGCTGGTCGCCTCCGCGCCTGGTGGCCTCCGCGGCTGGTCGCCTCCGCGCCTGGTCGCCTCCGCGCCTGGTCGCCTCCGCGCCTGGTCGCCTCCGCGCCTGGTCGCCTCCGCGCCTGGTCGCCTCCGCGCCTGGTTGCCGCTGGGGCCGGTCGTCACGTCGTCGCGTCCGCGCTGGTCGACGGCGCGGATGACGATTCCGCGCTGGTCGACGGCGCCGATGACGATTCCGCGCTGGTCGACGGCGCGGATGACGATTCCGCGCTGTTCGACGGCGCGGATGACGATTCCGCGCTGTTCGACGGCGCGGATGATGATTCCGCGCTGTTCGACGGCGCGGATGACGATTTCGCGCTGTTTGACGGTGCGGATCACGATTCCGCGCTGTTTGACGGTGCGAATGACGATTTCGCCCTGTTTGACGGTGCGGATCACGATTCCGCGCTGTTTGACGGTGCGGATGACGATTCCGCGCTGGTCGACGGCGCGGATGACGATTCCGCGCTGGTCGACGGCGCGGATGACGATTTCGCCCTGTTTGACGGTGCGGATCACGATTCCGCGCTGTTTGACGGTGCGGATGACGATTTTGCGCTGTTTGACGGTGCGGATCACGATTCCGCGCTGTTTGCGGATGACGATTCCGCGCGGTCTGACGGTGCGGATGATGGTCGCGTTTGTCGTAGAGGGGCACGCGAGGGGCGCGGCAGAGCCGGCGGGAGATGCGCTAGATAGCGCGAGGGGCGCGGCAGAGCCGGCGGGAGATGCGCTAAGTAGCGCGAGGGGCGCGGCAGAGCCGGCGGGAGATGCGCTAAGTAGCGCGAGGGGCACGGCAGAGCCGGCGGGAGGGACGCCAAGGGGCGTGAGAGCACGGAGATGTAGTGCTTAGGCGCAACTAGGCGCGGGAGGGGAAGAAAGTGGTCCTAGGATCTTTGAGCGGCGTTAGCCGTAAGAGCTCTGATAACATGTGAGAATTGAACCGATGAGTTGATTAGGAATCATGGGGGCTTACATAGTTGGAGCTAAGGAAAAGGGGAGGTGGTTGGTACCTAGCCAACATTATTGGCCCCCCACCAATAAGTTGGGTTGGAGAATTATTGGGGGGTCCCAATAATGTTGGTCAAAGTGGGCCAACATTATTGGGGGGGGCCAATAATCCTCCAACCCAACCTTGGGGTCCAATAATTGGGCCAAGGTTGGGTTCCAACCCCCAACTAGGGTTAACCCTAGTTGTGCACCCAAACATAGTTTGGGTGCCTATCTCTATCCTAGGGTTTATAGGATCAATGCAGGATACAGAAGAGTAGTATAATCTAACAAGACCGTGAGAGAGGTGAAGCAGATGTGCTATGATGGGTCACCCCCATCCCACAGGTGGCGCAGGCGCGGTATGTAGCAGCGGAGCGCAACCGCCTCCTCATCGGGCTCTTCCTCCAGCAGACCCGCGCTGATGGCGGGCCGTGCCGCCCTTCCAGGTGAGAGAAGAGAAGATTATGTGTCCCCTCCACCGCATGATGTCATGATGGCTCACACCTTCCACACCATGCCATGCCTGTTCACCCCCCTCTCTGCACCACCCACTCGTTTCTCACAATCCTGGCCACTTCTCCTCCACTCCCTCCTCCCCCGTCCCTCCCTGCCCCTACCTACACCCCTCCCAACAGGTTCCTGAGCCTCTTCCCCTACTGCGCTAACAGCACCTCCCGGCAGCCATTCGGGATCAACCCGGCATTCCTCCCCTCCTCCTCGCTCTACGACCCTGACGCTGCAGCCGCCCTCGCTTCCTCCACCAACCAGTCCGCGCCGCCCGTTGCCGGCCAATCCGAATCCTCAGTTTCGGGCGACAGCAGCAGCGCCGTCAGCCAATCAGGAAGCGGAAGCACTGTAGCGCCTGTAAATTCCACGGAGCTGCGGGCGTTTCAGAACCACAGTGTGCCGTACGGATTTGCGCCCGTGCAGCCGGACAAGGGGGCGTTCCCCGTCCTATTTGACGTGAATCTGGACAGCGGGGCGGCTGCCGCCCGGCTGCAGTACCTCATGGACGGCTTCTTTATCGACAATGCCACCCGCACCATCACCGCCCAGATGCTCACTTACAATGGTACCCCGCATGAAATCCTCGCCCACACCCACACGGTATTCGCGTGTTGTGAGACGATTTTTAAGGCGCCTAAAGAATTTCCACCCGCACCATCACCGCCCAGATGCTCACTTACAACGGTACCCTGTCTCGCCCTAGCGCCCTCGCCACGTCACCATGCTGACGTCATCGTGCTGACGTCAGTCACCGGACGGACGTCACCGTGCAGATGAAATGCCGTGGGATGGGATCATCCTTGCACAGCTCTCAAGATTCTGCCCTGCCCTGTTTGCACGCCAGTCATCCCCTACCCTGACCTCTTTTTGCCCTGCCCTGCACGCACCTCTGCCCCCTCCCTCGTGGTGCCATGCCGTGCTGTGCCTTGTGCAGGGGAGAGCCATCTCTTTGTGCTCACTCGAGTGCGCTTCATCTTCCAGGTGCGCTGCATCTCTTCCTTCATCTTCCAGGTGCGCCCTTCCTAAACACCCTGTCCTGTTCCCTCTCCGCCCATCCATGCCCCTGCCCCATACCCTGTGCTCTCTTCTTCCCCCTCTCTCTTCCTCGCTGCTTGTTGAAATGTTGCACGTCTGTAGACTGTTCTATCTCTGCGACACACTCTCCCTCCCACATGCCCACGCACAACCTCTCCCCTCTTGATCTCTGGCCGATAGCGATGAAGTACGAGATCGAGCCTGTCAACGTGGAGGTGTTTCGCACCGAGGGGAACAATCTCTCCTTCACTCACTCCCTCACTCACCCACTCACTCCCTCACTCACTCCCGCACTCACTCACCAGGTGGGAGGGCAGATAGCAGTGAAGTATGAGATAGAGCCGGTCAACGTGGAGGTGTTTCGCACGGAGGGAAGCACCGACTTACTCCCTCACTCCTCACTCACTCCCTCCCTCACTCACTCACTCGCTCACCACCAGGTGGGAGGGCAGATAGCAGTGAAGTATGAGATCGAGCCGGTGAACGTGGAGGTGTTTCGCACAGAGGGCGACTGGGTGCAGCTGGGGGTGACGCTCGTGTATGTCATTGCTGTCATGTGGAACCTGCTCGAGGAGGCCAGAGAGGCCTTCGGGCTCTGGCTTCAAACAGGCAAGGTGAGCCTTAAAGCAAAAGCATACATTTGACAGGTTTCGGGTTTGACAAAACCATTTCGCCTGTGCGAAATAAAAAAAATATAAACATAATAACTATATAAAAATAACTCGAGTATGGTTCGCGAAATTCCGAAACCAGAAATCACGCAGGCCGATTTCTAAACTTTTGGCCCTCTGCCTGCCAAATGTAGACTGTCGTTTTAAAGCCCGAGCGGATGCACACGGGCAAGATGAGTGGTGGGGCGCGTGGGGCTCTGCCCGTGGGGCTCTGCCTCTCCTCTGCTCATTTCTGCTCCGCCCTGCTCAGTGCCTTTCGTTGGCACTCGCCTGTCTTGCTGACCGCTTTCCTGTGTGTGCTTGCTGCATCTATGCCTTACGTGGCACGGCATGGCGTGGCGTGGCATGGCATGGCGTGGCGTGGCATGGCGTGGCGTGGCGTGGCGTGGCATGGCATGGCGTGGCGTGGCATGGCATGGCGTGGCGTGGCATGGCGTGGCGTGGCGTGGCGTGGCGTGGCGTGGCATGGCATGGCGTGGCATGGCATGGCGTGGCGTGGCATGGCATGGCGTGGCATGGCATGGCGTGGCGTGGCATGGCATGGCGTGGCGTGGCATGGCATGGCGTGGCGTGGCATGGCGTGGCGTGGCGTGGTGTGGCGTGGCGTGGCGTGGCGTGGCATGGCGTGGCATGGCGTGGCATGGCAGATGTGGTCATACTTCCGGTCGCTCTGGAACTGGCTGGACGTGCTCTCCCTCACCATCCAGTTCTCTGGCATCATCATCTGGTCAGCGCCACGTCAGCGTGAATGAGTCAGCGCCACGTCAGCACGCTTGATTGACAGAGGGGAAATGGAAGCATCTTTGTGGCTCTACCTCTCTGTCATGCCATGCGTTGCACAATGTGCCCCCTGTGTCCATCCATACCATATGTACCCCGGTCCCCGTGCTATCAACTTGCCCCTTCCTTCATCACATGCCCACGCCTCTTGCCCATGCCCGATGCTCCACTCCCCATGCTCCACTCCCCATGCTCCACTCCCCATGCTCCACTCCCCATGCTTTGCTCCCCATGCTCCACTCCCCATGCCCCGCACCCCATGCCCCGCACCCCGTGCCCCGCACCCCATGTCCCTCACCCCGCACCGCAGGTTCATCATATCGATACAGCTGTCGGGGCCATTCTCAGTGCAGGCGCGCTACAACATCTATGTCTCACTGGGCGACACGCCCTTCCCCTGGCAGGTGAGCGACTGCACCTGCCCTGCACCTGCCCTGCACCTGCCCTGCACCTGCCCTGCACCTGCCCTGCACCTGCCCTGCACCTGCGCAAGCTGCACTCTACCATCATGTACTTACCCTCCCATTTCCTGCCTCCTGCCTTGGCTTTCCACAACATTATCCCTCCCATTCCCTTCCCTCCCCTCATACGTAGTGTACCCCCCATCGCAGTACCTAGCAGCAATGAGTGTGTATAACCACATAGAGCACATCGTCGCCTTCCCTTGCCCTCCCCTTTGTTCCCTTCCCCCACAGGTTGTGTACCCCCAAACACAGTACCTAGCAGCAATGAGTGTGTACAACCAGATAGAGCACATTGTCTCCTGGCGATCCATCTGTGTCGCGCTACAGGGCATCAAGTGAGTGCATCGCTGCCACCCCCCTCCTTTGCTAGCTGAGTTTCCGTGTCAGATCCCCCACCCAGGAGCTTTTGGTCGTCCCCCATCAATGTGTTTCTAGTGACACTGAATCCTCTCCTGAAGCATATGCATCCGTTTACTTGCAAGAACCTAATCCCAAGGGCATTGCAGCTCTCTAGGGAATATGTGCGACCACCCTATTCCCCCCCACATCCCTTTCTCTCCCCCCCATATCCTTCACCCCGACTTCCTCCCCCCTTCCCCACTACCCTTGCCCCCTCCCCTCCCCCCCAGCGTCTTCCTCATGACTCTCCGTCTGCTGAAGCTGATGGACTTCCAGCCGCGCATCTCCATCCTCACACCCCACTTAATACCACGTCCCTCCTGCCGCCCTTCCCCTCCTCTCTTTCCCCCCCCCCCCCCCAGCGTCTTCCTCATGACCCTCCGTCTCCTCAAGCTAATGGACTTCCAGCCGCGCATCTCCACATCCTCACTTCCCTGTGAATACCCACCTGTTCTGCCCCCCTTCCCCTATTTTCCTTCCACGCTTCCCCTTCTTCCTCCCCTCCCCCCAGCGTCTTCCTCATGACCCTGCGTCTCCTAAAGCTGATGGACTTCCAGCCGCGCATCTCCATCCTCACGCGCACCATGGCAGCAGCCCTCCCCTCCCTCGGCCACTTCCTGCTCCTCTGGGCCATCGTCTTCGTCGGCCTCTCCGTCTACGCCTATGCAGTCTTCGGCCGGACCCTGGAGCAGTTTAATACGCTCGCCATGTCGCTGGTTTCCTGTTTTCTGATTCTGATTAATGATAACTCCACGGGGTATTATTTTATACAGCTGGAGGGGTGGCCGCTGGCGGCGGCGATGGTGTTCTGGATCGCGTTTGTGGGGGTGATGGTGTTTGTGCTGCTCAACGTGCTCATTGCCATTGTGGTCGACGCAATGATGGAAGTGCAGGTGAGCACCTGAGTGCAATTGACTGATCCTACAATGTGTGCACCGTGCTGCTCACCGTTTGTGGGGGTGATGGTGTTTGTGCTGCTCAACGTGCTCATTGCCATTGCGGTCGACGCAATGATGGAAGTGCAGGTGAGCTACTGATTGCCATTGTGCCCGCCAATAGTCATTGTCATTGTTTGTGGCGGTGATGGTCTTTCTCGCTCCCATCTCAATCCCAATCTCCGTCCTTCCCTGTCCCTCTGCTATCCCTCTGCTGTCCCTCTGCTATCCCTCTGCTATCCCTCTGCTATCCCTCTGCTGTCCCTCTGCTATCCCTCTGCTGTCCCTCTGCTATCCCTCTGCTGTCCCTCTGCTATCCCTCTGCTGTCCCTCTGCTATCCCTCTGCTATCCTTCTGCTGTCCCTCTGCTGTCCCTCTGTTATCCCTCTGCTATCCCTCTGCTATCCCTCTGCTGTCCCTCTGCTATCCCTCTGCTGTCCCTCTGCTATCCCTCTGCTATCCCTCTGCTGTCCCTCTGCTATCCCTCTACTGTCCCTCTGCTATCCCTCTGCTATCCCTCTGCTGTCCCTCTGCTATCCCTCTGCTGTCCCTCTGCTATCCCTCTGCTATCCCTCTGCTATCCCTCTGCTATCCCTCTGATGTCCCTCTGCTATCCCTCTGCTATCCCTCTGCTGTCCCTCTGCCATTGCCATTCTCCTGTGAGCAGAAAGAGTCGGAGGACTGGCCGACTTTCTTCCTGGACATGTGGCGTGTGTTCCGCAGCTACGCCATCCGCTGCTCCTCACCCCTCCCATCCAAATGCCATTCCCCATTCCCATTGCCGTTGCCGTTGCCAATCCCGTTGCTCCCACCCCCACAGAAAGAGTCGGAGGACTCGCCGTCCTTCTTCCTGGACATGTGGCGTGTGTTCCGCAGCTACGCCATCCGCTGCTCCTCGCGCTACTGGAAGCCGGGACGCCTGCAGAGGCACCTGCTTGCGCTGGGGGCAGAGGACGACAATCAGAAGGTGTGTACCATCAGGCTTCAGCAAGGGCTGCTTGTGCTTGTGTTGGTGTTGGTGCTGTTGATGCTGCTGTTGGTGTTATCGGTGATGCATTTGCCATGCCTCTCGCGTGTCATTCAGGTCGAATCAGCCACTGCATGTTGCTCCCACTATACCCATGGGCCCCCCTCAGTACTCATCCACTCCTCTCCACCTTTGCCGACTTCTTGAGAGTTAACAAGTTAAGAGACCGTAACAGCAGCTGCTGAGACAAGTTAAGAGTTGTTTCTTTCACCAGACAGCTGCCGCTGGGGCAACTCAATGGTGACTCCTTCCTCTCCCGCCTGTTCCATCCCCCCTACAGGTCCCCTCTTTTGCCCACTCCATGCGAGTAATCCGACGCAGCTCCAGCGATCTCGACAGCTGCTTCAGCTTCAGCTGTAGCTTCAGAGCTCCAAGTGACCACTAGGTCAATCAAGCAATCGCCCCTTCCGCCTGCCTGTTTCCCCCTCCAACTCCCCCACACGTATCGGGGTTTGCCCACTCCATGCGAGTCATCCGAGGGAGCTTCAGCGATCTCGACAGCTGCTTCAGCTTCACATTTAAATTCAATTTCTCCACTTGCCTGCCTGTTCTTCCCCCCCCCCCTCCCCTCCACTCCCCCCCTCCTCACAGGTATCGGGGTTTGCCCACTCCATGCGGGTGATCCGAGGCAGCTTCAGCGATCTCGACAGCTGCTTCAGCTTCCCTAGAGCCTGCCCGCAACCGGACCTGAGCCGCCCGCGCCGGGTCTTCCGAGTCAACTCCCGAAGCTACACGGCCGATAACCTATCAAGGGTGCTTGAGCGCCGCCTGCAGCGCTGCCCTGCTAGTTCGTCCTCCCGCCGCTTCTCGTTGCTCAAGGGCGATTCGGTGGGTGAGGGAGGGAGAGGGGGGGGGGAGGGGGGAGGGGGGGGGGGGGGGGGGGGGGAGCGGGGGTGATGGGTGGGTGACTTGTGAGGCGCCTCAATAACCTGTCGGCTGTGCTCGAGCGCCGCCTGCAGCGCTGCCCCGCGAGTTCTTCTTCCCGCCGCTCTCGCTGCTCAAGGGCGATTCGGTGGGTGGGGAAGGGTTGGTGGGGTAGGGGTGTGGTTTCTATGCACCTCAAATTAGACGGATAACCTATCAAGGGTGCTCGAGCGCCGCCTGCAGCGCTGCCCCGCAGCAGGCTCTTCCCGCCGATTCTCGCTGCTCAAGGGCGATTCGGTGGGTGGTGAAGGGAGGTGGGGGCGCTGGGTTCCACGTGTGTTCTTCCATGTCATCGCATGGTTCACGGATTTGTAAAACACTTTGCCTGCCGCATACCATCTACCTTTTTCTTTCTTTCTTGCAATGGCAGGAGAAGACGGAGCAAGGGCCGGGCATCAAGCCGGAGAGGATGACGGATATAATTCTGGCGCAGTTTGGGGAAGAGATGGGGTCGGTGGTGCGCACTCCAGGGCAAGGCACCGACAGGGATGAAGACCTCGAGGTCATGAAGGTGCGCTCACTGTATTGTACACCCATATTCTGTTTTGTTTCTCTCTTATGTGTAATGTGTAGATTTCGTAGTTCGGAGCACAATATGCAACAATGTCTGTATACTCTGTGTCGTTTTGGTTTCTCCAGGAAGAGGTGTTTCGGATCGAGAAAAGCACAACAGTGTCAGCTGAAGGGCTGGTGGAGCTTCAAGGGGAAGTGCAGATGCAGCGCCGGGCTCTCCGCCACCTGCAGCGGCAGCTCACCAATCGAGACCTCCGCTTGGAAGAGCAGACCGCGGAGTTGCAGCGCCAGCTGGCGCAACAGCATCAGCTCCTGCTTCGTCTGGTCAACTCGAGGAGTTAAGAGTGGTGTTGCTTGGTATTTATTGCATAGCCTTGCTTGTTTTGTGTGGTGTCAACGTGTTCAGCCTCTTTCTGGGTGGTCACAACATTCTCGTGCCACCAGAATTCACATATTCTTATACGTGGTGATTGGTGGTGAATGAGCGGTTGGTTGAATACTGTATTGGAAATTCAGAAATGAAATGTGATTGGTTGCAGTTGAAGTGCTGAACAACGCTCAGGGCCTCTGCGTCTGCACAGGCATGGAATGCTCATGAATTGTGATCACGAAGTCGCCCAAATTCGGGATAATTCCCCTCTTGTGTATTATAGCTGAACTCGTAATCAACCTCTATATATGTGTTACAATCCCAAGTGGGACTTAGCGAAGGATCGCTCAGGGTTGATCGCAGGGTAGTGTTGCAGCGGAAGTTTGAATCTCAGGTCAGAGTGAATGTAAATGACTGAGTTGATAATAGCATGCATACATCGGGTTTATATATGAATACAAGGGAATACGAAAAGACCTAGACTAGCCATGTACTCTAAGGGGTACATTCCTTTATTGCAGCGAATTCAAACCGTGCGGCGCGGGAACCCGTTTCAAACCTGTTCCCGCTCTTTTCACTTCGAATGTTTCTGCCTGCATCGGTCTTGATCAGACGGTTACCAGTGTCGCTTCGACTCTTCTGACTCCTCGGCTTCGTACACTTTAGAGTCGGTCCCTGTAGCATACAGGAATGCCTTCTCATAAAGTTTCATATCGTAACACTCCCCTTCATTCCTGGGCGCGTAGGGGGCTGACTCGCTTGACCACTCCGGTGAGGTCGGAGCAGTGCTTGTACTGCTGACGCGGCAGTCGCTTGGTGAGAAAGTCGGCTGCCATCTCGGTGGTGGGGCAGTACGTGAGGTCAACCTTGCCCTGGTCAATTTCGTCCTTGACGAAGAAGTACCGAAGCGCGATGTGCTTCGTGCGGTTTACGAAACCTGGCTTGTTTGCAATCTTGATGGCACTCTGATTATCTCAGTGAAGACGAAAGGTGGGCGAAGTTGAAATTTTCGCCTCCTGCAGTAGCTCCTGCAGGTACAGACCTTCGCGAACTGCTGATGTCGCGGCGATGTATTCAGCTTCGGCCGATGACAGGGCAACCAGTTCCTGCTTTTGCGAGTTCCATGAGATTGGTCCTGTTGGTTCCAGGCGAAAGACGAAGCCGGTTCGGGACCGTCGATTTGCAGGATCAGCGGCATGATCTGCATCTACGTAGCCGTTGAGGTTGAAGGAGGTTGTCGTCAGCGTGGAGTAGGAGAGCCCGATGTCAGGTGTGGAAATGAAGTACTGCAGGGCGCGTTCCAGATCCAGCTGGTTCTCTGCTACTGGCTTGCGAGAGCACTGTGCCAGTTGGCTGGCAATGTACGAAAGGTCGGGTCGGCAGGTGACAGAGGCGAACAGCAGGCACCCCAATTTCTGCTGGTACATTTGTAGTCCTGCGGGCGACAGAGGTTTGTTGTCCGGTTTGTAGTTGGCACTGGGGTTGCGGTAAGGAGTTGAGTGCGGTGCGGGTGAGATGTTGAAGCGTTCCCCCAGCTGCTCTGCGTACTTAGAAGCTGACAGATGAATTGCTTCTGGCGCGTAGGTGATGTTTAACCCCAGAAACTGTGTGACATTGTGGTTGATGGTGATGTCAACGCGCTGCGCCAGGTTCTCTTCGAACTGATTAAGAAGCTTGTTGCAGGTCCCGGTGTATAGCAGGTCGTCGACGTAGACTGTCAGAAGGATGTAGTCGCCGTTAATGTGAAGGCGGTACATTCCTGGGTCGTGCGGCAGCTGCCTGAAGCCGATCTCGAGGAGGATTTTGTGCAGATGCTGCTGCAAGAGACGCGGCGCTTGCTTTATCCCGTAGAGGGATTTCTTCAGCTGGGAGACCCTGGGGTCTCCTTCCCCGTAGGTGTGTGGCTATTCCACGAAGATGGTTGGATCCACCAACGCGTATAAGAATGCGTTCTTCACGTCGATCTGCCGCAGTGGTAGGTGCTTAGCGGTGGCAATGGCGAGTAGAATTCTGACGGAGGTGTGACGACTGACGGGAGCAAAGGTTTGGTCGAAGTCGATGCCGTGGCGCTGATCGTACCCGCGTACGACCCAGCGTGCTTTGAAGCGCTCGATGGTGCCGTCGGCGTTGGTTTTGAGGCGGAATACCCATTTTCCGCTTAGCACCTTCCTCCCCTTCACTGCTGCACGATCGACTAGGACCCATGTGTCGCGTGATTCCAGTGCCTGTAGCTCCGCGTCCATAGCAACACGCCACTCCTTGGCGTGGGGACCGGTAAGGGCCTGGCGAGGGTTCTTGGGTTCGACGGCGCGCGTGAGGGTAGTGACTGACGTGTGTAGGCCGAGAAGCGGCAGGCCAGACACGGTGGTGGTGTCACTGGTGGTGACCTCCACCACATCGTCATCGTCACTCTCGTGGGCAGTTGCGGTGGTGCTGGGCTCAGGTTGGCGACGTGATGGTCCTGGCGCGGGTGTGTCGTCATCATCGTCGTCGTCGTCGTCGTCGTCGTCGTCGTCGTGCGGGCGGGGCGGAACGCCGGGATGTTCGTCGGCGGGATCGCGGTCGAGTGCTGCTGCTGCTGCCTCGTCCTCTGGGGATGCAAAACTGCGGCCGCTGTTGACATAGCCGCGTGCCTCGTTGCGACGCTCGTCTTCGATCCACTTATTCAGGGTGAGTCTCCCGTAGAAAAGAATATCACGCGCGGGAACGACCTCCTTGCTGTCAATGTCAAGAATGAGCCAGCCTTTGTGCTCGTTGCTGAGTCCCAAATGAATTCCCCAGCGCGCGCGGTGAACGAACTTGCCAATTGTGGCCGAAGTCGGCCGATACTGCAGCATGCACCCCCAAACCCTCAGCATGGAGGGGTCTCCCTTTGAGCCGGTCCACTTCATGTGCGGGGAAAGGTTGTCCCTGTTGGCCGTGGTGGAGAGAAGGTTGTGCAGGCGCACCGCGTGATTCATGGCGTAGGGCCAGTACTTCTTGGGTAGGCCAGCCTGGTTCATGAGGGCGCGAACTTTTGTCATGAGGGTGCGATTGACCCTCTCTGCGACGTCTTGCTGCTGATGTGCGTAGGGGAGAGAGATCTCGTGCTTGATCCCATTTTCAGTGAGGACGCTCTCCAGTTCGTGGCTGCGAAATTCCTTCGACCCGTCACTCTGCCAAATTTTCAGCTTCCTCCCCGATTGTCGTTGCGCATGTGCGAGCCAGATGCGGAGGACCTCTGGAGCCTTCGAGCGAGCATCGACGTTGGCAATCCAGACGTGGCGTGAGTAGGCGTCGATGAAGGTGAGCGTGTATTTCTCACCGTTGATGCCGTCGCATGTGAGCACGATGAAGTCGCTGTACACCTTCTCCAGCTTCTTGTAGCGGTTGGTGCTTGGTTCCAGAGATGGGTAGGCGCTGTGAGAGAGGGCAGCTGTGGGGCAAACGGTGCAGGTGATTGGGCGTGAGGTGTTGTGTGGTTCTGTGCCATCAGGGCGCAGCAGTGCTCCCGGGGGAAAAACCTTGGCGCGGAGACAGTTAGCAAGTGTCTGACGCGAGGGGTGGCCGAGTCGTTGATGCCAGAGGTCATCTTCGGCGCGAATACCGGAGGTGCGCATGTAGCGTGCATGATGCTCTGCTGCTTCCACCTCCGTTTCTTGCGGAATCTGGAGTGGGGGTTCCTCCTCTTCTACTGGTTCTGCTTCGTTGTCCGGCTCCCCTATTTCTGCTTCCGTCGTTGTCTCCCCTTCTGCAGGTGCCGTCGTGAGATAGAGTGCGAGAAATTCGCGGTCGGGGATCATGTTGAGCGGAGTCGTCGTGCCTTCGATGAAGCGGGCACATGGGTCTGGGCGCGAGATTGGCCCGAGAGAGTCACGCGGGGGAGTTGGTGGTACGTTCCCCTTCTCAATCTCTGACCAGGAGCTGGTCCAGCGCCATCGTGGTGAGCTTGGGGGAGAGCGAGTGCGCGGGGGCCTTCCGAGCGGAACAGCGACTCGTGGAGATTGTTCTCCGCGCTCAGCCCTCATTTCCTGTTCTATCTCTTCTTCTTCTTCTTTGGTGAGCGGAGCATCCGCGTATTCGTCTCCTCCCCATCCGCCAGTGTTGCCCCATCCGCCTGTGTACACTGTGCCGGATGCGCCAGATGCGGATCCCCATGTTGCACCTTCCTCCGGTATGTAGTCATCATCTCCCCATGCACCTCGTCGTGCTGATTCCTCGTCCCATCCGGCCGCGACGCGCTCTTCATACAGCTTTTGTTTCTTTTCTGCCTTTGCTTGATCTTCCTCCTCCTTGACGCTCGGCTCTTCTTTTACGTCAGGGTCTTTCCACCCTTTGTCGATCTCCTTGCGGTAGACGTCACGGGTGTATGGGCGAGGGCGTCCTTCCTCGTCGAAGGTTCCAATGTTTGCCTCTAGGATCCATCAGAGGGTTTCTGCGCGGGGCGTTGGGCGCTCTTGGCGTCGTTGTCCAAGCCTCTCATTTTCTTCGCCGAAGATACGGTGAGTGGTGACAGCGACCTCCATCTCCGTCATGCCCATAGGTTCGGCCTCGGCGCTTTCCGCTTCCTGGATTGCCGCATAATCTCTCTCCACTTGTGCTGTGCGGCTTGCAGTGGGTGTGTGGCAGGTGGTGCAGAGACCGTTGATGTCGGGCTCGTGTAGGTTGATCTCACAGGGATGAGGGCAGCGGCGAATCCACGGCCTCCCGTCTGGGTGCTGCCATGACTCTTTGTTCATGAAGGGGAAGTCGAGGGGGACGAGATCCACGAGCTCGTCGGATGAAGCCTGACAGCTCGGTATGTCAAAGTCCAGGACGTAGATGCCGTTGATCGAGCGAGCTCGTCCCAGCTATTTGTGCGACTCGGGGAGGGTGTCCGGAGGAGCGAAGGTAAGAATGAGATCGCGTGTATCCGGGTCCGTGGTGAGCATGACTCCGCAGTCTCGGAGTTGCCCTGCTAAGAGTAGGTTAAATCGGAGATCCGAAACGTAGA